GCAGTAGTTTTTTTGAACAACTCACACTTTTATGCTTGCTTGGATGGAATAATACAAATTTAGTTTTGTTAGCATTCAGAGATAATTTATTAACTAACATCCAGCTACAAATGTTGGTTAGTTCTTGGTTTGCAACTGTGAATAGATCTTCAAGGTTTTCCCCATGAAGAATCAAGTTAGTGTCATCAGCAAACATGATCGACTCAGAGGATTTCAGACACCTGGACATGTCATTAATGTAAGCTAGAAAAAATAATGGGCCAAGTAAAGATCCTTGTGGAACTCCGTGCTTCATGACACAAATATTTGTAGAGAATGAGTTGTCATATTGCACAATTTGCTTCCTGTCTTGAAGGTAGCTCTTGATCCAATTGAATGGAACGCCTCTAATTCCATAGTGATAGAGCTTACTTAAGAGGATGGAATGGTCAATGGTGGTCAAAAGCTTTTGAGATATCAAGAAATATTCCAATTGCATGTTGTTTGTATTCAAACGAATTGGTCAGTTTGTGTACCAAAAACATTAGCAGCCATAGCAGTGGAGTGATGCTTGCGGAAACCAAATTTGATGCGAGTGGAAAACATTGTTAGTTTCAAAGTAGTTTGACATTCTACTATACATTATTTTTTCAAGAATCTTAGAAAATGATGGTAAAAGACTAATAGGTCTATAGTTTCCAAGATCTGAAACACTACCCTTTTTAAAGAGAGGAAGAACTTTGGATGTCTTGAAGCTTTCAATGAATAATCCACTAGATAGTGAAAGATTAAATATATATGTCAGGATATCAATAATATGTTCTGGAACATATTTCAATATTTTAAATGGAATACCATCGATTCCAAAACTTGACTTGGGCTTCATATCGCGTATAATATTTTTTATTTCTAATGATGTAGCTGGCCTTAAGAACATGGATGAGGATTCTTGCTTCCCAAGATATGAAATGTAATTTTTGTCACAGCCAGCTGGTTGTGGCATACAGTCAAGCAGGCTTTGTGCCACTTGGGAAAAGTGTTCATTAAATTTATTTGCAGTTTGTGTATTACTGCAATCAAATCCAATCAAAGGACAAGAATTTGTTTTATTTTTACCAATAAGTTCATTAATTGTTTTCTACACTGCCTTGATGTTGCCTTTGTGAGAAGCAAATTTAGATTTGTAATAATTTGATTTCTTTTTGTGGAGCAATCGAGTATAAAGGTTCCTGCATTCATTGAACTGTAATTTGTGTTTGTCATTTATGTTTTTATTGTTTATTAATTTCTTATAAAGTTTTTGTTTGACTTTGTTGAGTTTGCGTAACTCAGTATCATACCAAGGTTTGTTTGATCTGTCTGTCTGTTTTTTGTAAGGAAAAGATTGAGAGTAAGCAGTGGAGAATTTTTCAAAAAAAATTTCAAAGCAAGTGTTGGGATCCTCGATGCTGCTGAAGTCATCAATATCAATAGAATTCAGTTCATTCATAAAAGTATTCAAGTTGGACAAAGTAAACTGGCGATAAAGCGTTTCAATTCTGGTCTGAATTTGCTTTTCTAGAAGAGAGCATTGTACAATCGGCAGATGATCAGAAACACATTCTGCTAAAACAGCACTGTTAATTTTTTTATCATATACGTTTGTCCAGATGTGGTCTATACAGGTAGCAGAACTTGAAGTTATCCTGGTGGGGCAGTTTATCAAAGAATAATAGGCCATGTTGTGCATAATATCAACAAATAGGCTGGTATTCATATTGGACTCATCAATAAGATTATAGTTGAAGTCACCCATTATATAATTATAATTCAACCTGTTCATCTTTGAGAGAACTTGGGACAAGAGATTCCGAAAGTTAGCATTGTTCAATTCATCAGTTAGTGGTGATCTATAAATAGTACCGCAGGTTATTGTTTTATTTTCCAATGATATGTCAATGAATATAGATTCAAAAACCTTTTCGCACATTATAGTAATATCTTTGCGGACAATGTATTTCAAATCATTTCGAATGTAGAGACCAACACCACCACCTCGGTGATGAGATCTACTATTAGAGATAAAAACATAGCCATCCAGTGCATTGAAATGGCCATTTGTACCAGATACAATCCATGTTTCATTTACAGCAATTACATGAGGCTTACAATTCAGTGAATTAACTAGTGCTTCAAATTTTGTGAAGTTTTTGAAAGAGGCTAAAGATCCGATATTGATGGAGAGAGTCATGAAACCACTTAGTTTAAGGCTGTCGTTGAATTTAAGGGCATTGACATCACTGGAGCAGATATATTGATTTGAGCAATTGTACAAGAAAACACTATCAATGTTGTTGAATTCATCAGTATCAGTATTGGCTGATTCAAGAAACAGTTTGTTGAGGTATTCAGGATCAAGAATTTTGGCAAGTGCCTGGGCTTCAGCTTTTTCTGTATGAAGGGGAACAAATAACTCAGATATTTCAGAATCAGAGAGACAAGAGAATGGCATACAGTCTATTTCACAAAGGAAACAGCACCAAGGAAACAACACAAAACTGCAAAACGCGATAACGATTCAAGATATATATGACATTTATGGTAGTTTTTTTTCAATAGGATATGATTTACATATTCATCCCGTGAAAAAAAGGAAGTCGATAAAGAAGAACCACGGCCTCTCGTCAGGTTACCAGTCGATGTCAGGTATGAAATCAGTTAGCCAGTCCATTGTTTTCGGAAACACGAACTTGATGGTAGAGGAAGTCGTAACGTAACCGACCATTCGTTACGTGAATCATCCTACACGACGAGGAGTTCAACAATTCCCTCGCACATAACTATCCTCGCGTGGGATTCGAACCTGCGAACAAACGCAGGGTAATCAGAGGTACGGTGGCGAGCGTATTTCTAACGTTTAGCACGATGCACCACACCGCCGAGCCCGGCCTGGGTTTTGGCGTGTTCGTGAAAGCCGAAAGGTGTGTGTTCTCTTTTATCAGTCAGCTTGTAATGTTAGAACTTTTCAGTACTGTTCATTGGGTCTGCTTCATTCCACCCCTTTCAGACTGTCAGATATAATGGGTTCCCGATGCAAAATGGATTTCGCTCGCGTGCATCTTCGATGAGCGCTAATGTAATTGGGACGCATTAGGATGGTATAATATAGACAATTCCTTCATCAATTTTGATAAACTAATTTCATGGTATATGTCACGCCCTTTTTCTGAGTAATCTGTTTAAAGATCTGAACAAGACTTCACTGGTATGCAGACAACTATTATGCATTTTGCGCAAAAAAACTCTCCGTTGTCATATACAATTCAATTTCACCCTTGTTTATTTTTTGAGTGCCCTTAGAAAACCCCCTCTTAGGGATTCCTTAGGGATTTCCACACTTTTTAAATAAACAGTTGTTCCTCCCCGTTCAAACGTGCTAGAATTACCAGTCAAGTATCTCTAAATGGATTACTAGACCTCTTTCCTCGTGACGCTGTCAAAGAGCGATATCGCTATTCTCCCAACCGTTGTGGGTTGTTGAATCAGAATTTTCAAAAATTTTTGTTCGAAAATTTTCAATCAAAGTCAGCCGTAGTAAACAGAATAGCGATAACAACTACTTCTCTTCCAAAGAAACAAGACTGACAATCTGAATATAAACCAAACACGAGATATCGATCGTGGAAGTCAAAACACAGCTGGATTTTCACTACGATATGACGTCATATGTTTTCTGTTATTTTTGGCAAATAAGCTATTTATGTATCTTTAGAAACGTTATTTTGGTCTTTTCGTGTTAGTTCATTCAAGAGAGTGATAACTGGCTTTGTTTATATTGCAGTGGGGCAAAAATAATAATTTGGTGAAAAATATTTAGAGCAAATTTTTTTTTTTATTCTGCATCACTATAATATATAAAGATGTGATAGAAACAATTTGTTTACTTTTCTAAAATACTCCCCTTTCAAGCAAGAAATAAGATGGGACATATTGTCTTCAAATGCTGCAGAGACTGTCGGCTCGTCGTTTTTTTAAATCTGTGACGTCATAAACATATTTTTTTTATATTTCAATGTGTCTTGAATGACTGAATAAACCCAGGTGGTCGTTACAATATCTCCTTCATTGAGATTATATATTTGAAAGCAATAATTCCTATGTGGAATGGTCAATATAGGGTTCTATACATCACGTCTCGCTCATTACTACAATTTGGAAGATCTGATTACGTGGGTATAAATTCTAACTGTATATAAATACTCAAATTCCAAAACCCACGACAACCTTTTTCTATTTCTGTGACGTATTCTCTCGTTCAGATGAGGTAATACACTATTATTACTAGATCATACATTCGGAAGGCGTAAAGTTATCATTACCAAGAAGTTACGATCAGGCATGCCCAACCAAAACAATTTTTGTCATTTTTGGGGATAACGCGTCCAGCTTCGAGACCAACGACTAACATAACGTTCGAGACGGACCATTTGGGCTTGTATTGGGGACCTTAGGAAGAGGCCTAGGGAAATGAAATTAAAAATCTAAATTCAATCCATGACCCGCGTACCACAGGGTACCCATTCATGGCTAGGCCGATCCAATTGGGATTAGGACTTGTAAAATAAGATAAAGCTATCGCACAAGAATATTTTCATTTTTCAATGTCGTGTTTGATAACTTCGAGTTTTAAGGTACACCATTGTAGCTGGTGCTGGATGGTGACTAAATTTGACACGATGTCCGGTCACCTGGCGGTGCCGTACCGTTGCAGCACAAAGCAGTTCCAATGTTTCGCATGCTTACAGTAATATAGTATTTAATTTTAATTATAAGAAATACTCTTAAAGTAACACTTATACATAGCGTACTCTACGAAACAAGTACAGTTCGACAGGTGAGAAAGTGAACGACGAATTATGACGGCACGGTGAAGCGAGCCTTCCCTCAAAAACGTTACTGGCAGCCTCGGTCAAAGGTCATGAAAGTTCGTAATTTATGCCCTTCCCTTGTCATCAAACTGCGACACGTTGTTTACTACAAAGTAGGGTTATAAAAAGTATGTGATATTATTCAATTACACACCGAAAGCACATTATCAGCAATTTACACACGCCACAAATTTACCACACAAAAAATTTGATTTGGTTTCTAAACCTCACTACTAAGCAATTTAATGTTTGGGGAGTTCTCCTCGCCGGAAACATCATTTCGACGGCTCTAAACTGTGTGCGTTTAATGTTGATATTGAGATATTTCTATTTGGATGACTTAGCAACACCATTTTGTAATCATTTTAGTGAAATAACAACATTTTTTTTGAAATGAGTCTTATACCACCCTATTAAATTTCCAATAGTAATTGTCTGATGGTGAATGTCAACAACAACTCGTACACCCTTTTGTATTAGGCACTGCGCTAAAGTTATCGATAATTTTAGAGTTTTTAAGCAAATCCTTCCACAAGCCAGCAACTGACACCGGACAAACATTGAAATTCAAAATTCAGTTTATCGACTTCCCCAACAACGCTAAGTTGGTGTTTGGTTTTCTTTCTGCAAATACGGCAGAACCGTATTCCAAATTACTCCATCTTTTAGAAGAGTTTGCGCAGCCTCAATATCAGTCGACATAATTCTATCTCGATCGTAATGTCTGAAAACATGTTTGACTATTTTAAGAGAATTATACCATTATTCAGGCATTCAAACAAACGAAACAACAAAATATTCAGGTAACTTTTGTTTTTCTCAAAGCATGGCTATGCACAATCGATTGGAAACAACGAAATCTCATATGAGTGGAAGTAATAGACCACTATAACAGCTATGCACAATCGATTGGAAACAACGAAATCTCATATCAGTGGAAGTAAGAGACCACTATAACACTTCAAGCTACTGTGGTGCATGACATGCCTCCAAATACCAGCTTATGTCTGTAATTGGTACTAAAAAATGTTCACGTTTTATTATATCGTATATACCGGTATATCTTGAACAATAGGGGAAGCAGATGCTAGTACACGACTACTTACGGTATCACTTTCCGAACAACTTTGTGCACTTCTTCCAATACGTCCGTGGTGTGCAGAGGTCGATGGAAATCAATAGCTTGGCAAGCACACAACATTTCAATTGCTACCACATTCTCGACGTGCTCAACTACTCTGATTGCCTAAAATAACATTCTTTGATTAGTATAAACCGCGTTTGCGAAATAGCAGCAATATGGTAGTGACACCAATAAAGGAAATTTGTAAATAATCACAATGAGCTAATTGTTGATAAACTGACAATCAAATGCATAACGTGTACTTAGCTAATATAGATATAGATATATATCCTGTACAACCTTTCGCGCAGCCCATCCGCCCATGGCAACGTGATCCTCCTGTGCCGCGCTCGTGGACAGAGAGTCGACAGAAGAGGGATGACATAGACACTTATTTTCAGAAACAAGCGCAGCTGCAGTGCAGTGAGCAATCATGAATCCAGAATTCAGACCACCGTTCTTAACCAGAAAAGCAGGAAGTTCGCTAAGAGCTGAAGAAAATATATATTAAATTATTTTGAGAAATAAAATGGAAAAAAAAATAAATAGGTATAACAATCTCGTGTGAGTGTTTTTTCTTGCATTTGAAATCAAACCATGCTCAGGCACTATATAGCTCGTGGTTTACTAACGAATCAAGCGATATCGGCCGTTTGCATGTATATATAGAGAGAGATCTCCAATTTACAACAAAACTACTCTTCGGATCAGATATCATTTACCTGTATGGTCATTTACTTACAGTCATTACATAGCCTTTCAATGCGTCGTTCGCTTATCGCCCCAATTTCATGAATTCCGATGGCAAGATAGTCAAGAGCTTTGGCAGGATATTCTCCATGAAAGTTTCCGCCAGATATGGTCTCCCTTTGATCCGTCATGATCATCTGACAAAGACAATAGTTTTAGTACAGAGTGAAAAACAATATTATATAAACATTTCGTTCATTTTTTATCAATCAAGATGACATTCTAAGATTAAGCTGAGCTCTTAATCTTATGATAAACGCTGAGGAAGAGATTTCAAGGTTGTGAATCTGACAGGCAGTGGCGTATCTAGTGTATGGCGGGCGCCGTTTGGAGAGGGGCGCAAAAGGATCGAAAAGTTTTATTTGGAATAACCATTAATAAAAATTGTCAACTTACGATCAAAGGCCACTTTACCATGGGCGCCATTCCACGTATAGGCATGCCGCTGCAGGGCCGTTCATGTCGAGCTGCCAGATGCTCGAATCTAGCTCAGGTGACGTTGGAAATCACTAAAAATCATATTGTTCTGACCTCTTCATAATTTACCACTTCCATTTTACTATCTGCGTGTTTAAAGTTTCGGACAAGCAACAAATTCTCAGTTTTATACCACTTAAATATTTCATAAATTTATAAAAAAAAAATTGTTACCGGATTATCAGTAGCACTGTTTAATTCCGTATTCAGTATGTTTTTGACATACTCAATGGTGTCGTGCGCGATTCCATGTACTTGTGGACAACACCTCAAAGTGTAAGAATCTTGCACGCGTTTGCAAGTCGTGTGACTTCCTAAATAAATAATAGCGGTTATACATTTCATATTATATTTAAGATAGGTAGAACGACAGCGATCGCTTAAAACAACATCTTCAAAAAACTCAATGAAATTATCGGTCATTAGATATTATAATTGGTCTAATATAAGAACTGTGTCCTCAGATCGGTGAAATAGATGCGGGTAGGAATATTAGTTTCTCGTTATTGTTCTCAGTCGGATGAACATTGAACCCAGAATTTCAAAAGTTGTAAGCTGCCACGGGCTTGTATAATATAATCAAATTAAAATGAACGATATGTTAGGTATTAACAACAGCAAGTCTGTTCTCGTTAATTTAAGAGCATTGCAAAAGTGTATCGAGTGTGCAATAATGTCGAATAAGGCGCAAATTACGTGTTTATAAAGTTCACAATATTGAATTACACCGCAGGACATTTAATATAAAGAGGCGAATTCATAGAAAATTGTATAAATGAATAAGAGCATTTCTCGTATGATCGAACGAGATCGTTTTTCATAAAACTTTTTCACCACCGTAAAATTTTTCTGAATAAATTGGATGAAATCTTGACATTTTGTAAGCAGTGTCATGTTTGTTTGAAACCTAAACCGAGGTAAGCATGAAGCAAAATTTCAAGCATCAACATACTTGTAATTTCTGATTCATTCCCTTTGTATTGCAGCAAAATCCGCATTCTCTTTGCTACATCCTGTTGGCCCTTATGAGGCCTGGCGTCGTGGATTCGTTTGTCAAAAGCTTTTGAAGTTCCCTTCAGGGCTTCAACTGTCAATGCAGCTATCACGTCAGCTTGAAGAGCGATAAGTTTTGCCCGTTCAACAGCCTCGGAACCCAGCGATGAAACAAATTGCGTGCCGTTGATAAGTGCCAATCCTATCACAAAATTAACAGCCATATTGAATTTGAACAGATCTAACTTAATCATGATCTTGGAGGCTGGATTTGTGAAATGAGAAAGACATTTATTTATTGAAAATGCTATCCATAATCGCAATTTGATTACTACTTAATAAAATGGGTATTTTGCGGGTATATGCACTAGTTTGGGATCCTCTGTTATAATGCATTGAATTCAATTGCCTTTCACCACTTATTGGTTTTAATGGTAGACATATTGTGATCCTCCATGCTGAATAATTTTATTTGGTTGTTAGGCAATATCTGATCATGTATATATTTGAATTTACATGCCGATATAAATTTTTCTGACATATAAATCGTACTTCTTTGAACCTATTTACGCCAACTGCTTTTAATATTATGTTGTTGCCTAACCTGACAACTGTAATCTTTATTTCGATGAATATAGTATTAAAAATGGGAATTCGGAATATTAATTTATTGTACAACTTGGTTGCCACTTCATTTGTCAAGCCGGAATCATCAGGTAATCTTTTTTGTAAAAAAACACGGAGGCAGGTGGTTAGATACACAGTAGTTGTACCTTTTTAGCTGGATACTCATTTCTCAAGCTCTCGAGGGTGTCAATTGCACCGTATTATACGTCGTTATATTTTTGTCGATTTGTTTATAGGTATTTTACCTTCTTTTGACCTAAGTTCCAATGGATCAATGTCATGAGATTTTAATACAAATTCTGCAGTAGACCATCCAGATTCGGGAGACCACATTTGTCCTTTTCCCATAAGTCCGAGAGCAATGTGCGCCAATGGTGCTAAATCGCCACTTGCTGACAATGTCCCTTTTTCGGGAACGTATGGTAAGCATGATTCTGTTTTCGCATAAAAAAAACACAATGAAAATAATGAGGAAGCTTAGTAATACTGTTTGATTGAAGGCTCTGCTACTCATTTAGTCAATAAATCATTATTGTAAATCTCGCATTTGGCCTCAAATTTTTCCATGTAATCGATTAGGTTGAATTATGTACTAAAAACTAATCATGGAATAACTTACTGTTATATGCATTCACCAATACATTAAGATTCTTCATTGATATACCGCTGAAACCTTTGCATAGCACGTTAACTCGGAGAGCAAGCAGCATTCGAACGCGAGAAGGAGGTAGATGTTCCCCAACTCCCGCCGAATGTGACATTATTAAATTAACTTGCAGTTGATCCAAGAGGTCGCTATCAATAACATTGCGAGCAAATGCTCCGAATCCTGTTGATATCCCGTAGACAACTGAAATAAAATTGTTTGTCTAACCCATAGGTTCTCCAAGTGCTCCGTACCGAGCCCCAGGGCTCCGCGAGAGTAACCCAGGGGCTCCGCGAGCTATTCGATTACTTTTCAAAATATTGACTTGGCTAATTTAAAACTGTTCCTAGAAGCAATACTAGCTATGATGAAATTTAACAAATATAGCCTCGAAATATGGCAAAGGGGCGGAATTATAAAATGACATTATTTATAAGCAGGAGCGCAGCCAGGATTCTTAAGAGGGAGGAGGTTCAAAATTGAAATCGGAAATTTACGCGCAACATTCTTGACGATTCAAAAAAAAACAGATAACGAGATCTCTGTTCATCTCAATTCATGACCGATGCGAGCATCTAAAGGGTCTTGTCGTAATAATTTAATTGTGCTCATCGTTACTCACATTCGATTCGAAATTACTATTAGGATTACTAAAATGATAAAATACTAGTCTAAAATAACATAAACTGCGTGATAAACTGCTAACTATAAATAAAATGGAGTCGTATTTTTGCGATCTTGGGATTTGTTAAACTTTATTTGTTCTTTCGCACTCGAGATTATTTTTAAGCAAGATGTCGCCGTTTGAAAAATCACAAGGTCTTGGCAAAATACGAACGATAGAAATTTATTTTAGTGCATGCGGCTCTGTCGGTAGTTTCAGAAAGGAAAAATGGTACATCGCACGCATAATTAAATGACTGTGTTTCAATTTCGCAGGTACTACGATGAATAACCGAAAACCTAACATAACACCAAATTTTATGATTTTCGATGTCTATAACAGCGTTTTTATTCTGACGTGAGTCTGCTGAAACAAAACTTATAGTGTTATCTTCCATTTTAAGTTTTAGTTCTAATATTTTAGAAGGCCGCTTTTTAATCAAGAAATTTGAATTGCAGATTTACCTCTTTATTAACTATTATTTTTAGCATTTCGTCGCCGATGATTATAATGGTGACCGTACATTTGAACCCATGTACATTTGAACCCATGCGTATATCCACGGGTTCAATCTATATGCGGGTGCTAAAACCCATGGGTTAGGGTTAGTATGGGTTTAACTATCCGTGAAACAAAAAAATCCCATAGGTGCAATAGCATACAGGTGCAATTGTCATGGGTTCAAATGTACGTGGGTTCAAATGTAATGGAACCGATTATAATATGGTAACATGTTTTTCACATTGAACTCATAATTCCCCACGAGAAAGAAAAAACAATTATCGTCGTCATTGTGGAACAATACATGCATATGCCGAAGGAAATTTTTTATTTAGGGAGAATAAACACCGGCGTAAAGATGTTTGAGGTTCAAAAACACGCCATGCTGACGAAAACAATCGGCGATTGTAACAAAATGCAATCGCGCACGTTATTAGCAGCCTTTTAAGTCTTCCAAAAATGTCAAGAGGGGAAAAGATTCGACCCCTAATTTATTAATATGTTTGTCATGTGTCAAATTTATAGCTTTAGTATATTATACAATTTATCTTTGAAATTTAGATTTATTTATGACTTGTATTAACCCTATTAAAAGTGTTTAGTATTTAAATTGAGTAAAGTACGTTTAACTTACTCAGGAATATTAATCAGAAAGTAACAATTTTAACATTTATTTTGGGGCTCCGTGAATAATAGTCAACCTTTTCAAGGGCTCCGCAACGCCAAAAGTTTGAGAACCCCTGGTAACCTAACATATACAAATTCAATATCTGTATCCCTATACTGAATAATACAAGTAGTTATCTGTCTGTTGTTTTGTTGTTTCATAAAAGCACAACGGCTTTGGTAGACTCTATGTGGTGTCGTAATTATACTTATAAGTAACAATTGATCAGTACATTGCAGAATTTATAGACTTTTTATATTTTCATGTGTGCTTCTATAATTCATCATTTTATCATTATACTCTTTTTGCTTTTGAGCATTTTACTGCTGTTATCTTATGCATTTAATGTCGGTTTAATTAAAGGAAGAAAACAAAATTTTGAAACATTGTAGCAACATTTCTTCTACCTCGTTTTTCACGGACCATCTCTTCCACAACATCACGGGATTCTTGAATCTTCTTTATTGCAACCTCCCCAATCTGAAATAGGCAAAAGCCACTATGTAAAATCTAGAAATACACTAGTGCTATATTTAGCACATATTTTATTATTTGAAATATTGGGATAATTCACCTTCTAATTGTTCGTGTTTCCTGTGATTTGTTCAAGTTCATTGAAGGATTATTATAAATGAATTTGAATTTAAAAGTGATTTGCTATACATCTACCTGAATATTACATTTTCCGGTTGAAAGTTTATATAAAACTTCGGTTGTCAAACTTTCGCCGTCTAATGTAATTATCTCTTTGTCATCCTAAAAAAGGTAACGTAAAAAAAAGATCCGAATCGTTTCTCCATATACAGTAATTTTTGATAATTGGTGAACATTGTTATATTGTATTACCATCTTGGTGTTGAATAAAACGATGTCTGGTTATAGCAATATATTTGGCAGAATACCACTTCATTAATAAAATGTTCTTATTTGATACTTTACTTGATGACGCGAAAAGATTTTCAATCAAGCCAGGGTTTTGATGTTTCATTTAAATGAGTACCAGATGGCGTCGTATCAGATACTATACACAAGTTTGGTTATATTCAAAATGGTCTGTGAAACACAACTTTAATAGATCAGACAAGTAGCCATTCTAACATGGAAAATACTTAATAGCTGAGGCTGATCGCAATCGTCCGAAACCAAACGGTCTATATCTATATTAACTCATTATAAACGCTTTTGTAACAGTGTATCCACAATAATTTCGAACCAACAATTTCCAATACTCCATTTTCAAAGGAAGAAACTAACCTTTTCGTTGCTGTTGATGCTAAATAGAAAAAGGTGTTTTATCAATATAGTTTTTCTAAGGTTTCGTGTAAAAATAGTGAAGCAAACCTCCCAGTGACAGTTACCTACGACATGACGTGTTCGCTTAAAGCTATGGCGAAGCATAACATCATATACATATAAATTTACATTGATTAAAAATTTAGATTTGGGAGTTAGATATAGTGCTGTCAATTCACGGTGTTATTTATATTGAATGTTCAGATATGTTAAATTCTCGAATATGCAACAAATCATCATCTAACGTACGCACTTGAAAAACAAAGTTTAATAACCGAGGAATGAAAGTAGATACCTGTTCTTCTTGATGTTGGGCATAAGTGAAGGTAGAGTTACCTCTGTACCTTTTTCACCTATATAAATTAAATAATAAAATATGTAACAATTACACATAATTGGTATAAATAATATTTGACATTTATAATTTACCTATGATCAAATATTGTCCATCCTGCAGTACCTGTGTTATGTAATCTTCCTCTCCATAAATCACAAGGCCATCGGCTGAAGTGATGATCTGCAATATACGACGCAACATTATAACTGTTTTATTTTTCTGGCAAAACCAACGCACTCTTTTGCAAGTATAACTTAACTTACAAATTTCCTTTTGATTCCGAATTATCGAGAACAATATCTATGAACAGAAGACAGCTAATCAAATCCATTTTTTATAAATGGAATCAAGAATTTATCAATTTTTAATGTAGCGTCCTAATTGCTGTTGGCTGTGAACGGTAGGAAATATTCAGAAAGACACGGTGTTCGGGAGATTAAGTACTACGAACGTTTGTGCATCATGTATTGTATAGCATACTACATTTTTATATTCTGGCTACCACGAACAACTGATGCAACATGCGCCATACAAGTGAGACAAGAGTGATATTATCGCTTGAGTAATGATATCGAAATTTTAGACGTGCTAAATGCATGGGCTTATTTCGAAGTTTTCAGTTAAAAATGAAAAGGCATGCCAAAGTCAAAATTTCACTAGTTTCGTGTTCAAATGATCATTATCTCAAAGTTGGAGTCAATAACCTTTTTTGAAACCGGCAGAGGTAATCTAATTTTCTGGCCAGCGCTAAATTATAACAATTGCCATATTGACATTAAACTCCAATGCACCCGATTACTCGGAGCGTTGATAAGAGGGCTCTTTTCAGTTTCGTCAAGTTTGTTATGAGCCCATTACTATACACAGTATGGATGGGTAACACATAATTAATTATTACATATTGGTAATTATCAATATATTTTAGTCCATGTTTGTCATACTGTCATCATCAGTATAGTAATATGCTGCTGTTAAATTTATTGATAAGTGAAAAAGGCATGCTTACCGATTCTTGATGTAATTGTCTTTCTGGAAAATATAACTTTGCTCGTTGTGTTGTTTCAGATATCAGCCATTTCACACGCCTTTCCTGGCCATCGCACGGTATAGCAAACCATTTTCCATATAATGCTGTGTATACTTTCATTTTTGTTCGAAGTATATTGCATAAATGGCCAAACTGTTCAATGTAAAACGGAATTGAATTGATTGACACGTTTCATGAGATTATTTCGCTCAGCACATCTTTCGAGTAGAGAATACATTACAACTAATTTTGAATAATTTGAATTCACCAAAAACCATGCACGTTAAAATTGTTGATGATTAATTTCACGCTGTTAAATAGTCTATTATATTGCCTGGTATGAAAAACATTGATAGAACCAACTTCATAGTTATAACTAAATAGTTTGTGGATCTGCTATTCATCAATCGCCATTGCAATAGCATATATATCATAAATGGCGAATGTGTTCAATTTTCTAACAAAATTCTTCAGTTCTGCAGTTTAACAGACCGCCTAAAGCAGATTGTTTTTACAGGTACATCCGCAATGTTTTGACTTATACGCGTCTGAAGGTAAAAAAAGCAACAATTGTTTTCAGTCATCCAATTGAAACGGTTAGACAGTCACGCCTCCTAACCGACAGCTAACGAAATGCAAAATATGCTATGACTCACGAATAGTGTTTAATGGACCGCGCAGCATTTGATAATAAAAACAAATGTAACAAACTATAATCCATGTTCTACATACAAATATATTGTTTATATTCCTACTAGAATAATTTAGGGCAACCCTACTTAGTATGTTTCGCTCTAAAATATCCGTGGAAAGCATTTTAAAATGAAAATACAGAGTAATACTATAGTAATGGAATAAAGTACCATAAAATATTAAGGAACAAATATTAACTGTCCTGAATTCTACAGCATCATTTTTGTCTATATTCGGAAAACGGCCTTTAAAATTATTAAAAAAGCATCTACTTGTGAAGAGGAACGTTTTTCAGCAGCTATTTCTAAATGTGATTATCCAAGATCAACTGAAGGACTGACTGTTGATTGTCCTTATCTTATCACATAATGCTGGCGAAATCGATTAGTTAAATTTCTGTTCATTGCACATGCTGGAAATGGCTCCACATTCAAATAAAATTACTACCAACAATCAATGTGCTATCATGCGCTATAATGTCATCGCAGGTATTGCGCTGCCAACAATGATCATGAGTAATCTATTCGCGCAGCACAGGTTATGACTTCACCAAGCAGCGCCCTGAACCGGCACATATGAAAAACGATTCTCGTTTATTGCTGCAGTGGCTATGACGTGACATGCACGACGTCGTAGTCACAACCGGCGTTTCTTTGTACTATTCAATTATGGGACACAATATACATGCACGATGAAATATGAACTTGAATCCGGAAGTTACAGTTCTGCATGATTTACTGCTCCACGTTATACATATCATAATAACACACAATGTGAATACTATGTGATTGTAACAGTTTTCATATAAGACAGATGTCACCAAACATATACCCCCGTGCTCTGTTACTCTTATCTCGCCGGTCAGAATGCAATTGCTCGCGACGATCAAAAACATGTCTTTTGCAGCTTTCAGTTTGTTCATTCATTCCGTCACAAAATTGCTCTGGGTTATATGTAAAACATGCAATGCTTTGTCCAATGCAGCAATATCATTCAACATTGTCAATAAAAAAGAAATCAAGTCACAATTGACGTTGATTTGTGACACGTGACGACAGCTGTTGATTTTTTAGTACTTGTAGACTGTAGAGCCTTTAATTTTAAGCAGTCACTTAAAATTGTAATGTTATTTTGTCGAAAAATATACCCAAAATGAACTATCACAAGGTAACACAGAGTAATGTTGAAAATGATGAAAAATTCTCACCAATCGAAAGATACCTAGGAATATAAATCAAGTATTCCGCACTCTTGGAACGGTCTGGTCTGTGAATATCTTAAGACGTTTCAGATCTGTATTTTGAACGTAGTCATTGAAGTTCGCAACAATCAATTCTGCTGAACTGGAGTTGCCTATTAAATTTTGCAAAATTTTTTCAACTTGTATATCTTGTACTTCCCATGACGTTGCTGGAAACATATAGAAAAGTTTATTATATGTATTAAAATTTCATCGAAATGCGCATCAAGAAAGCGTTTCATTACAGACCTATTGTAGAGTACAAGACGGGGTACCCTTGAATTGCCCCTCAGCAGATTCGCAAACCTTGACGTTTTATTAAACTGCATCTTGCGTTATATAACAAGTTGCGAAAAATTAGATGGTGCCATTAGCAACTAAGAGACCCTGTATTTAAACAAACAGTTTTACTCATTTTAGGTTTGAAGTATGATTTATTGGTATCAAAGTGTATAAACATACAGAAACACAGTAGGACTGGATTTTCTTGTGTTACGATTTGAATTTTGGCACTCTTCGTATTGAGGGTAAATCACATTGATTAACTATTACTGACCAACACATTTGTTGGTGCCCAAGGTTTTTAAGATGATTTAGATTAATTTGGGGTGCTGAGTCTAAAAATCATACCAATTTTTTCTCATCAGGTTAAATTGTTGAAATATTTACTATTTTATCCTCTTTTTAATATAAAATTAGGGGTATTTCTATATGCATTTTAGCGTTATACCGTGTTTCCCCGAAAATAAGATTGGGTCTTATTTCAATTTTTTTTCGAAAAATAAAACTATGGCTTATTTTCGGGGAATGTCTTATATTTTCATTTATCAAAAACAAAATTATAAAAAAGAGAATTACGAGATTTTCAAATATACAAAATATGAAAACCGATATCCATTTACTTATAAATAAACCATTTTTTTATTCAAAATAACTGCAAAATCTAAGTAGGAGAGATTTCTTGCTATCGAATAGGTAAAAAAAAATTCGCGTTATTCACTAGGTCTCATTTTAAGGGGAGGGCTTATATTTAAAATCATTTTGAAAATTCAGGCTAGGTCTTATTTTAAGGGAAACACGGTAATTACAAATGTAGGTTTTTATTGTGTTGTTGCCAAACGAATATGACATCACACACCTTAAAGTAAAAGTCAAACTTGCTAAATAAAGAGGAATGTAGTTGATAAGAAGCGCGCACTGGGTGGCAAATAAGCCTGCCGATTGTGGCATATTTTGTTAAGTCAGACAGGAAATAAAGGAGCTGCATTGTTTTGCTTGAATTGCAGATTTTTGGAACAAAATTAAGCATGGCTACATCTTCTTTTAGGCGACATTGTTTAATTAAACAATTCAAAAGTATTTTGCTCTATTTGCGACGAATATACATTGCAATCCAACAGGGAAGGGATTAATAAATTTGTGAAGTGTGCTAATCTTGCCTACTTCAAAGTAAAGCTGGGTGTTCAAGATAAGGTATATTGTCTGCAAGCAATTTAATGAGCATCTTCGACAGTCAAAAAGAAGGATAGAGGGTCACTCCGCTTTGGTATTCCAATGGTCTGGCGGGAACCGAAAAATCATTTTGATGACTTGATGCTTCTTCTGTGCAGTAAACACGAAGGGAATCAATAGGAAGAACAGGGAATCGTTGGTTTATCCAAATCTCAAATCTGCAATTAGGCTAATTCCTCACTGCAATAGAATTCCTGTTCCAGTGTTTGAATCTTGCCCGAATTGGAATTGCCTGGGTTATAAGAAGACCAAAATTCCGTTTTGTCCACTGATAGTAGTGAAGGCACTGTTTCATATGTCGGTTTTCCTTCTTCTCCACTGCCACAGCTTATTTCTTAAGAAGAACTTAATGATCTGACTAGAGATTTCAACCTTTCCAAAGAATCTTCTGAACTTCTAGCTTATTCTTCTATCTTCTCATTTTCTATTGCAACGACGTTGCCGACCTGCTGCGGCAGCTTGGTGTCCAACAGTATGATCCTCAAGATTGGCGCCTTTTTATAGACAGTTCCAAAAGAAGTTTAAAATTTGTTCTTTTTCACAATGGCAACTTATTTGAATCAGTTTCTCTAGGGCAGGGGTTTTCATCTTTTTTCAAGTACCCCCTGAGTCACGAAACAATCAACGCGAACCCCCGGTAATCAGACACTGAACAAAGTTGTGATTTATTGACTAACAATTTTGTGCAACAACAATTCATTGACCTGATGTAACTAAATTAAATCTTCGTGTTGCTATTATTGCTCTTGTCCTCCGCCTAACTAATGAATTCTTGAAATCTCTCCCAAGTTTCTAAGAGCATAATCACTTTCTCCAATGCTCGCAGTACGCTGTCTTCAGATTCAGAGATTTGACAGTTTGACTACAAAGCCGTGAATTTCCCATTGTTGCGTCACCATCACAACAACACAAGATCGGGAAAATCGGAACCTAGTTTCAATGGACACGCACTTTCATTTGGTAGTAATAAAGGATATTAAAAAACAGCAAAACACAAAAAGTCGACCGCCATCCAAGTACCCCTGGAAATCTGCTCGTGAACCCCTGGGGGTTCGCGAACCCCAGGTTGAGAACCCCTGCTCTAGAGTCTAGGCCAGGGGTGGGCAACCTTTTTCAGATCGCGTGCCAAAATCGGCTAAATTTAACGACAAAAGTCTTCCGCGTGCCGACCAAAATTAAAAACGATGCCTAGCTACGTTCAAAGCAAAAATACACAATATTAAACCTTTTAAACATGTACAGACGATTTCACTATTCGGGAAAATACCAGTCCAACAAATAGATTTGATCACTTTTCTTATTTTATTCAGTGCGACTTCTGCAGCTGCATTACCGCTGATTGAGATTTTTCAGCAGGTTTATACTTTGTAACTTTCACAACAATACACGTACTATTGGTTTCGTCTTTCAAGCTAATCCTATTGCGAGACTTAATAAAGTTCATACTTCATAACTGAGAACAGAGATTCACAAGCATATGTAGATGAAACATGGCGAGTAATGCAGTTGCAGTTTTTAGGAGACAAAAAAAATTCAGGAATGGCATCCCAATCCCCCACAATCGCTCGTATTTCTTTCGAGATCAATGTATAACAGTAAGGTAGCAAGTAACTCTAACCAACATGAGCTGTACAACTTCATAAATCAAGCAGAAATGAAAAAAAGGTGGCAGACAAACAATATTACGTATAAGAATGTAGCCAAATGAATGCTGCGCTCTTCTCGACAAAAATTTCTCGAGAGCTCACTCATTTGTTACGTCATAATATATTTCTTTGTATCCATATGTCATGAAAGAACAAAAGGCGTTTAAATAAATAACAGATTGTTATTAAACGATTGTGGCGAACCACTTAACTAATAATAGCCGTTATGA